TTTTAAACTTTAATAGGATGTTTTTATGGCATATATAAATGAACAAAATGAATAACAAATACACGCAGTATAAATATAACATTTGATGTTAAAATTATAATTTGAATCAGGTATTCTTATGTAAATTTTTTTATGTTTGTAACTAATTTTTATATAAAAAATATATTATTATTATATAAAATATATTAAATACATTAAACATTTTATTATTTTAAATATATTATTCTGGATATTAATATAATGTTAATAAGTAGATGTAAACTTTTGAATAATTTCGTAGTAGATTATTTAAAAATAAAGATAGAAATTCATTTTACATATTAAATGACAGCCTATTTATGTGGTAATATTTGTCCGCATTCAAATAAATAATAAAAAAAATTACTTTCGTATTTATGTAATTATTAAATACTTAAAATATTATGTTAAATTTTAAAATAATAATATTTTATTAATACAATAATTCAAGTTATTGTTCGAAACTATTTAAACTGCTATAAGATTAAAATATAGTTCAACTTTTTTATATAAATTTGCCGATTATATAGTAAGTAATTCGTGATATATATACATTTTTTAAAACGTTTCATAATACTTTCTTTTTTAGGTATTTTAGATATTTACATGTCATATATATGGAAATAGGTCTTTCATTTCAATTTTTTAATGGAATACAATAATCAAAATGTATAGATTATATAAAGAAAAATATAAAGAAAATAAAAGTAATAAAAGCAAGGGTTATAAACATGTTGATAAATTTCGAAATGAAAATTTAATATATTATTTATAATTTTTTTTTTTGTTATTAAGTTAATCATTTTAATTTTATGCTTACTTTTTTTGCATCTGTGTATATGTAATGCATGTATTTTATGAATTCCATTGTAATTATTTATAAATATATTTTATATTTATTTTTCATACTCTTTCATATATAGTTTTCAATTTATCTTTATTTTGTATGAAGTAAAAATTTTGAATTCATTTAAATCTTTGAAATTTTAACTTAATATAAATATGAAATAGTTTAGATTGTTATAAAATGACTTACGTTACTTAATTTAGTAAATGTCATGTAATTTATAATTTAAAATTTAATACCATTTAATATTTTTTCATTTTTTTAATATTTAAACCAAATTTCATAAGTTCAGAAATGTTATTCAATTTTTTTTTCATCTAATTATTTGCAAATATATTTATTATATTAAGATTTTTCTATATTAGTTTACCAACGTTATTTCTTATTTAATAATACACGATGTATACATAGTTATTTATATATGCATTTTATAGGAATATGTTAACAATTATTAAATAAAAAGTGATAAAAGTAATTAATTATGAACGAATGCAATATTAATTTTCTACCTCATTTATTAATAACATAGGAAATGGGTATATGCTATGTAATATGTATATAATATGCTTCATAAATTATATACATATAAATAGAAATTTGAATAAATATAATACGAAAAATATATATTAAGTGGAAGATGAGAAAATTTAATCAATGTAATAGAAAGTATTTATATTGACGTGCGAAATTTTCTTAATATTTTCTGCTGTTCAGATATTTGAAAGAAATTTTAAACATAAATAATATTGGTTATAGATATAATAATATTTTTTTATGTTTAATATTATATTTATTATAGTTATTTCAGAAATAGTGAATTAAAATTCTTTAAAATAATTTGCAATTCAACAAATAAATTTTATTAAAATTAATTTAACAAGTGTTCATGTATATATAAATATTTGAAATTTATATTGTTGATTAATAGGAAAAATCTAAAAGGAAAAATCTATTTACATTGTATTTTTTCTGGATTATTTTCATAGTTCTCAGCATTTTCGTAATAATAAAAATATTTTTTTGCGAAATTTTAAAATATTAGTTAGATGATATTCAGAATTAAATGCTTCAATAGGTTCATAATGTTGTAATTTTTAAAGATACTTTTCCTAAAATTGAATTTAAAAAATGTTTATTTCCATTTTTTATACTTTAATGTATGACCTATTTTATAATTTTAGAGAATGTATAGCTAAATATATTCTAGTTCTGAAAAATATTGTTTAATCGATGAATTTTATAATATAAAATATACTTAAAAAAGAATGATGACATCTGAGTATAACAAGATTAATTTTAATTAAGCAAGAAATATTATAAATAAAATTTGAACATAATGAGAATTTTTAATCGTATAGTTCCAAAATAAATGTAGATTTACTGTTTAGTTTAGAAAAAACTTTGCTGGATTATAATAAAAAAAAATTAATTGTATTGATTAAATATTACTTTTATTATTAGAGTAGATTATAATATTTAAATATAGTTATTTACATATTTTAAAGTTATTATCCGCTTTAAGGCTCTAAAAATTATTTTTTTCTTAATTACTTATCATAATTATTTATTAAATAATTTTATAGGTGCATTCATTCGTTTATATATATGAAAAACAGAGAAAATATTTTGAACGTTTCACTTCATATTGCAATAAGAAAAATCTTATTTCTCATATAGAAGAAGAACTAGGAACTTCATTTGATAAAAATCATTATATATATTATGATAAACATTTATAATATCAATCATATTATAAGAGATGACTGTGATTTTTCTATTTAAATAAATTTATATTTTTGTAAAATTTTTACATTTTGAGTAATTAAAACGTTTTAATCTCTATATTTTTTGTTACCGAAAATAAAAATATTGAAATTCTTGAAATTTGAAATTATTGAAATATAATAAAATGAGAATAACAAATAAATAAAAATGAAAAAGAAATTTTTCTAAGTATGCGATGATATACTTTTTGTCTTATAGCAATATGTTTTTGTTTACAAATATATACTTCTTTTTTATTTTTCATTCCAGCTATTCTTAACATTTGCGTTTCCTACTGTGTGGAAAAGTGAAACTACGATAATTCCCTTTTTCAATCTAAATGATTTATGCTTTAGAAACATAAAACATCTGCAGATTTTATTTTAATATATACCAGCTTTAGAGTCCGTGAAAAAAACTAGTTGATCGTTGCACACGTTATTTTTTATATTAAAATAGAGTCTCAATTAGTATTAGAACAGTAATTAGAATACTGTTTGTAAGTTATTACTATTTATTAGGCAAATATATACTATTATAAAAAGTTAGATATTTTCAATTTCGTATCTTTATCTCCAAAATTGTTGAAAATTGTAAATTTAGTTTTACTTGTATTAAAATGAAATAAAGTCATTGATAAGAACAAAATATTTAAGTATAATTTAACAAATCAATTATTTATATTTAATAAAATTTCATGTTTAAGTACATTAATTTAATGATGATACTTAAACGGCTAATATTAGTAATTTCATTTAAGTTTTCATCGTTTTTGTTGTCGTTATATCTTGTAATCTTGTGCAAATAGTAGTTTTATTATATATTAATAAAATGATGAAAACTATAACTAATTTTGAGTCTTTATTTAAAAGAAATTTCGATTTTTCTCAAACACTAATTTTTAGAGGTAACAATTTTCATGATGAAAATATCCATTAATTTCTGTACATTTTCAGTTTATAATAAAAATTCTATAAAAGTTTATTCATCAAGATTCAAGAATATGTTTATTTTATGAAATAATCATTATGAATTGATGATACATAATTTAATTATGATATTCATTGTATTGATTCTACAGGATGTCTTTTATGTAGTAATATTTTTTAATAATCAAATTTATAAAGTATACTAATTAAAGATTAAAAAAAAACTATGTACAATTATAAGCTTTAATAAAATTTGTAAAAACAATTATTAAATATGTCAATTTTATTCGAAATTCCATAAAATTAATCGAGTACATATTTTTTTATAATTCTATGGCAAATAAATGTTATTTAATGTAAGTTAAAATTCTGTATTCTACAATTGTTACAGTTTGGAATTTTTAAAAATTTATGGATTTCATATATTAGTCGAAAAAAATATATAAATATATTTTTTTATTTCACAGTCCGATATTGTTTCCCTTTCATGCTCAAAATAAGTTTAATTTTTAAATACATTAATTTTTCATAAAATGCAATAAATTAATTTACATAATTATATAAAAGTATGTATTATTGATAACTTGATGCTTTACCTTTCATTTTTAGTATTTAAATTATATTTAAAATTTGAATTAAATTTAGTTAGAATAAATAAATTGGTATTTTTAACATTAATAATATAATAGATAAAATTAATTTTATAAATGTAATAATTTTTATCAGTATAAAAAATACATTTATAAAAATTTATATTTTTTAAACATTATATTTCTCTTGGATTATACAATTTTTTAAATATAGCAACAATCCTATTGAATTTTGTACACTTTTTAATGCAGTATGTAACACATAATCATAATTAAAGATGTTATCGTTTAATTCTTTTACTATTAAAAAACAAATAATTTTATTTACTATATAAATATAAATATCGTTTTTTATTAATAGTAATTTTATTGATCAGATATTTTATACTTATATATGTAGCGAAATTTATTCGATATAATATAAAGTATTATGTAATATTTAATAATGAAAGCATAATGTAAGTGTATGTAGAAGTATTAATACATGTATGTAATATATTTCATTAACATTTTAATGTTGATATTAATATTAATTGACTTTAGTAGCTTACAATCAATTGAAATATTTTACATCGACACACAATGAAAGAAACAAACTAAATGCTTTTATATATATTAAATTATAAATTACACTTTTTAAAATAAATTTTAGATAAACAAATAAAGAAAGAACAACTAGTCACATCCATTCGCCCAAAATCCAATTTCAGACAAGTCACTCGTTTCAAATCGTCATCTCATTGGATAACACAGTACTCAGAGCAGCAAAAATGTATGAAGAGAGGCAAATATAAAATAATAGCGTAAGATAAAGTGAGATAATATTAAACAATATGGTTTAATTTGCGGTACCTAACAAGGGTATTGCGTCGGAGACCTGAGGCAAGGTCTCGGCTACGAGATTCAGGAACACAGTCAGCGATAGCAAGATGGTCACTCCTGAAACAGTTACCGCCCAATACGTGTGCGTTTGTTCTTTATTCTAGTAGATTTCATAAAGGAAAAGGATTAAAAATGTACATTCATTTATCTGCTTTCTTTTCTCTCCAAAGAATAATAATTTGCTTCAAAAGGATCTTTTTTTACTGGTTTGAGAAGCCGCAGTTTCTCTCTTTACGTTATTGCTAAAAGAGGATTGATACATGATCCACGTATAGAATCTTTTTATCACGTGCGGTCTAATTAATTTTTTTTATTTTCGTTTCATTGGTCTATTAATATATCATATTATAAGAAATTATAATAATAAATGTATTTACATTCTAGAGGCATATAAATTTATTATGCCAGTTTAGAGTATAAAGAATGAATCTATTGCCATTGCAAATAGTTTTATTAAAAGGATAAACTATCAAAAGCTGTTAATGATTGATAAAATATATCATCATACTAAATATACTAATATATAATAAAATCTTTTTATTAGGCTAAAATTATATTAATTTAATAATTAATGATTTTAAAGTATTAAAAATTTTTTAGTTATACCTTAAAAATAATGTTAATTTTTTTAATGTAAATTTATCACATAGTTTTATATTCAAATGTATTTGTAATTTTATTCTGGAAACTATGATGAAATTGAAAGCATGTTTATAATTTAAAACTATAATACAAACTAAGTTATAACAGCCATTATATACATCATTCCTGATTTTCAATAAATTATTCTAAAAATTAATAATAATTGTCAAACCAATCTCTTTATAATTATACTCGTTTATATTCACTTTCCCTTGTAAATCAACCTTACATTAAAAAGAATCATTATAGTAATTCATTGCTTATAATTTTAAAGTATTTATTAATATTAATATTATTTATTAATCATCACTTTTAATGATGCTTTTTATAGAATTTATCATGTTTTTTTTATAGCATTATGCATTTGAGTGTATTTGTACAAAGCCATCGATAAGCTTTTCTGGAAATTTGGTAGAAATTAAAAATTTCTAAAAATTCGTAACATTATGCAATTGAATGGTTAATTATATGTATCCATTTTTTTACCTATAAATAATTTATCCTTAAAGTATCTTAAGTTTGTAAATCGTATTATAATAAAAATAATTATAATATATATTATGTTACATTATATAATTTGTCTTTTATCTATTTTAGCTATTTAGTAATATGAAAATAGACGTACTTATAATAAATAGAATTATTGTACATAATATTACAATATAAAAATAATACAGTAATATAATGAAATAATAGATAAATTTCGAATTCCGTGAAAAAAATGTATACTATTATTTACAACTACATTAATATTAATACCCGGTTTAATTAATACCCAATAAAACCGTATTAATATTTGTTTAGTTTGAAGCAATAGGAACATTTATTAAAAATTTAAAAATGGATGATTAATCCGAATTTTGATAGATTTTAATCGAAATATAAATTTTTCGTAAGTGTTATTAATTAAGAATTGTTGATGTTCAATTAAAAACTTAAGAATAATAAAATATTAAAAATAATATAATTTAATTTATTCACAATTATTTAAAAATCGAGCTATTTTAAAAGTATTCATACCTTTAAAGAAAATATTATAAATTTATATAAGAAATATATTTTTCCTAAGTTTATAATAATATCTATTTATAATAATATCTATTGAATCATTTAATGTAACATCAATATGTTTTAAAATTTTATTTATTACATTGAATACTGCAAGTATAATTTCCTGTAAAACTTTATTTTTATTAGTATTTTTATAGAAAATATGAATTCTATTAAATTACACCTTCGAGTTTAATTAAATTGCAATATTGTTCAAATCTTGTTTAGAAACACAATAATGATTATATGTACAGTTGAAAAAAAAACCATAAAATGAATGGGTAAAAGAAGTTGGTTACTGTATAATCAGGTTATTGATATCTTTTCTTATACAAAATCATTCGTTTGTTAGGAACAATTTAAAACATTTAAAATGAAGACATTTCGAAATGAATAATTCTACAATTTTAATTTAAATGTTTAATAATATAATGCAAAACAAATTTTATAATATTTTTGTAACTACCGCCGAAAATATCTTTATTTTAAAAGTATTTCTAAGAGTCAGTTGAATTATCGATATTTCAAAAATAAAATGTTAAATAAATTAATGTACAATTAAAGATATTTTGGAAATTAAAAAATCTTGCATAAAAGTTTTAATTGTGAAGATTTCCATTTGTTTTTAATTCAACGTAATTTAAAAGGCATGTTTGAAATTTTATATTTTGAAATATTGATTTATACTATTCATAATTCTATTATTTTTAATAAAATATATAATTATGGCTAATATTTATACAATAATTTTTATCAATTAATAACATTTATTGATTAAATTGAGTCTAAAGTAGAAATAAGATAAAAAAATAATATTTTTTCAATTGACGTATAATACTTACGTGTTATCTACATTATTATTTTGATTAGTTATTATTGATTTATAAGAATCAGATATTTTCAATATTATTCTTATTGAGATATGGAAGCTGTGTTAAATTATACATAGAAAATAAGAAGGTAGAAAGAAAAATAAATAGATTAATTAATAAATGTGTAATTTAAATGGTTAACCTAAAATTTAATTTTGGCATTTTAAATTACATTATTAACATAATTTAACTACATAACTTAGATTAATCGATATTTGTATTAAAATCGATATAAATAATTGAATAAAGAAATTGTGAATATTATGTCGTAAAAAGTAATGTATAATTCTTTAATCAATATCAGATAACTATTTAATTAAATATAATTAAAACAAATTTTGTAGTAGTATTTTTAAAATTTACTTTCATTATTTTTAAACTCAATTATCATCTTCTTTACTAGCATTTGATAGTATGTAGAAAATCGTGATTATAAAATATTTCTACATAGTTTTCAAACTATAAGTAGTTTTGTAATAAATATCAATTCTTTTATATTACTGCATGTTAATTTATTAAAAACACTCAAATACATTATGCCCGTCCATCTTCAATTATATAAATATGCGTTTTTACGCTCTGCTTATTTTTATGCTCTATTTAATAGTTTTTACAAATTATGACTGTACATTTAGAATTAAGATATTAAACTAATAATATTATGTATACGTAAATTGTTCTCAGATTAAATAAATGTATTAAAGAACAATTTTATCGATTTATTCAAAATTAAATATTATAATATGAATTAAATTAATGATTTAATTTATTTTTTAATTTTTTATTTTTAAATTTCCATTTACATAAAATTGAATTTTGTATAAATTTTAATAGAAACATTTGTTATCATTAAAATTTTGTTAATACACCATTGTAAAATGTATAAATTTTTATTCTGTAAATGAAATATTACAATACAAAATTAAATATCGAATATTTCCAGTCATGTCAATGATGTGTATCTTTAAAAATATATTTGAAATTTGTATTGCTTTTATGCAAAATAGTTTTATATCATATATTTATATAAAAATATATCCGTACTTTTATTAACAAGCCTAACCAAATTTTCATATTTTATGTTTGATTTGATGTTTGAGATCCAATTTATTATATATAAGTGAGATTTTATAAATATTTTATATTTTCTTATAATGACAGACAATATTTTCTTTTAATAATATTTGTATATTATTTGACATCAAGGGAACGTGAGATTCATGGAGTAATAATATGCTGTTTTAATGTCCTAGATACTTAGATTTTTATTTGATTAGATTTTATTAGTAATAAACAAAAAAAAATATTACTAAGATCTATTGCTATTTATAGTAGATATAGATAATTTTATAATTGAAAATTATTATTGTATGATATACTTTAATGCATAAATGATGGTGTAATTGAAATGATAATTGAAAGAATAGATTATTGTTGAAAAAAATTAATTTATGAGCATTATAAATACCAATACATTCGGATTCAATTTTAATCTTCGTATAGTAAATACCTAAGAGATAAAACCTTATATTTTTCATTTATTTTTATAAATACGGAGGTTATGTATATTTATGCGAGGTTAAACTGTGTACAATAATTGAATACGAACACAAATATTAAACAAAAAATTAATTCTTAATGTTAAGTTAAGAAAAGGAATGATTTAATCAATATCAATATATCATAATGAATAAGTCCCTCGGTCTTTTCATTAGTAGTGTAACAGCTGCAAAGAATTCTCGATGCATGAAAATGAAATTTTTATTATAAGAGAATGTTACTCTTTACGCTCAGTCTTGAAGTTAGAATAAACGATTGGGGATTGACTTTACAACTGGGAAGTTTCTATCGTTCCCCCATCGTTAATTCCTATTGATTTTTGTTTTCGTATTATTTTCTGTTTAACGGTGTAAAAGTGCGGAAAAGAAGAACCTCTGGCATTCTTCGCTGGTACAAGAAATGTTAAAGTGATATAATGATGACTGTTTTGGGGATAAATTAAAATTTTTGTATATTATACGGATTTTAGAACCATATTTGCTTTGCTTTTAATTAACTATTTACTTTTTGTTTTGCGCCCTAGGATCATTATGAGAAAAAGTAAGGAAGGAAAAAAGAAAGAAAAGACAAAGAGGAAAGTAGAATAATTTCAGAATAAGAAACGATGTTAATTTAGAATCAATTATGCTAAGAGATAATGGTGGTAATGTAGGAAAATGAATTAAATCTACTACAAGAGAAATACATATAATAAACATTTTAATAACTTTTTAGTTTAATTTTGTTCAAAATATTCATTTTAATCTTGTAATTTACTATAATATCCTTAAAATTATCTTCAAAACAATTATTAGAGTTCATGTTTTTATTTATTGTACAATTTGATTTATCATATATATATATTTATTTAGTTCGTAATTTGAAATATGGAAAAGAAACATTTTTCTGTTTCTTCGAGACAGCTATACAATATTTTATTTTATATTTTAGTAAGGATTATTTTTCATTCTCTTTTGGAAAAAATGTTTGCGTCAGTCAATTAAATATTCATAAAATCGCAAAAGAGCAGTTATAATTTTGTTTTCAAAAAAGTCTTTAAGATATTCTGTTTGATATTTTATATGGATGCATACACTATCTGGAAAAATATCCATGACTTTAAATTATTACAAGAAAGGTTTTGAAAGATACTTGAAAAGTGTCAAAAATGGATCCGAAGAATAGGAGTTTACGAAAAGGATAATTTTACTTCACTGTACATAAATATATATTTAACATAAATTATTATTATATAAACTCTTAGTTAAATTATAATATTTAAGTAGAATACTATAAATATTTATTAATTAAAACTATTTATATCTCTGATGTTATAGAAAATTATAATAAATTATATTTTGTAGCATAATTTAATAATAAAAAATTCTGATATTACTAATAATTACCATCTTTATTTATAAGAAAATTTCAATTTTAAATCAATAAGCTTAGATATATTTGAATATAATTATAATAAATTTTAATTTATATAGTTGAATAATTTCCAATTAGGATTTTGACTCATTTATTTTCCATGTAAAATGACACTGATATAATCTTGATATAAAATTCCAGTAAAAGAATGTAATTCTTATACAACATTAAACCGAATACTAAAGTTACATTTTTTTTATCATTATTAAATTTGTTTATAATCAATTTTAAACGAATATAATTTTTTCGTATTATTGTAAAAATATAATTATATTTAATATTCTATAATTATATTCTATATAAATTATTAAATTTAATATTATATTACTTTAAAATTTTATTTATAATTTACTGTATTGTTATATAATTTATAATGATTGATTGTCATGGGTATGTGGATCCTTTAAACATTAAAAAATTTGTTAAAAAGCAAAGAAATTATAAAAGAGTATTTATAATATATTATAATATATTATGTATCTATAATATACATAATATATAATATAATATAATGTATTTATAATAAATTAGAAAAGATAATTTTATTAAGATAATTTTTTAATCGAATGATTTTGAAATGGAGTAAATTAATATTTTATTTATGGATATCTATAAAATATTTTATAGATAATTATTTCATACTTTAGATAACTTTTTCAAGTCCGAAATTTTTGAAATATAATGTAATATATTGATTTAAAGTATATTTATTTTGGTCTCAAAAGTAAATTTTCTAAACTTTTCTCAGATTTATCAGAATTAATATTATATGTGTACTTAATATAAGTTTATCATTCGAATTTTAACTTAATTATTATGTATCAAAATGAATAGAAATATGAACTTGTACTTAAACATAAATGCATAAATCAATAAATAACTAGCGTTTTTATATTTTTATGTAAGTCATTCAAGTTCGTAAAATAAACTAACCTCTATTACACTTTTTGTATTATTTTATTACTTGTTTCACTTGAACATTAAGTTGAAAAATATTTATAAGAATTTTTATCCCACCTCTGAAGTAAAATTATTATAAATAAGTATTAAGAACAACTTTTTGCTGATCTTGATTAAACAACAGCTGCATAATTTATACTAAATTATCATTGTTACTTTTTTTAAACATACGTTACATTTGGCTCGCTATCAAAACGTAATGTAGGTTATCGTTTAAAATTTGACTGGCTCAAAGTTTTGGAAAGTTTTAATTTGAAGTTAACAAAGTTTTTAAATCGTTTAATTCGAAAGTTATTTTAACTAATTGCCGAATATTTTAGACATGGATAAATTTTTAAAAGTTTAAAATTTTGGAATTTAAAAAAAAATATAAATATTTATAGTGATTCAAATTTTCATTTAATTTTAAGTTTCTACATGTAGTGACACGTGTGTAGTTATTAATACTAATATTATCTTCATTTTATTTTATTTGAACAAAGCAATTGAGTTTGTCATATTATTATCAAATTAATAATTCAGTGTTATCATATTATATATGTTATTATATACTGGAATCTAATATAGAAGATTAATTGATTAAATATCTATATATATCCATTTTGAAATTATTATTTATTCCTTTTGTATAAAGTCAATTGAATTCTAATTTTTTTTTGATTTTTCAATCCTTTGAATATTTATAATAACAGTGAAGTAGGTATAAGGTCAATATTTTTGTATAAAATATATGTAAAGTATGATATGAATTTTATAATGCTTTAATTAAAATAAGTCGTTTAGGTCAATTGTATGATGAAAAAATATAAAAGACTTCCTTTTGCTTTAATGGAATATATAAAAAATAATAGGATTTATTTCTATATTTATGCTAAAGCATTTATTTTTTGCTCCATGTTGAAAGGAATTTCTATTTGTGCGATCGAGGAAAAGGTTTTGTTAAGCTTCAATAATAATATATTTAGTTGTAATTCTTTTTTTTTTTTTAACATGTGAATGAATACAAATGTATAAATGTTTGTCTATCAATAATTATTAATAAAATAATATACAGATATCCACACAAATTAATAAAACTATTATTACATTACATAATTTTATTATAATTTTCATGTGATTTATCAGCGATTTAAAATGATATAAATATTTCATGGGGAATAATTTTAGTTCGAAATAAGTAGAACTTTCTCATTTAATCGAACCTTTTATATAAGTAGTGTTAATAATTAGCGCGTTAGCTTCCCGCATTCAGTAGAGTTGAAGAGAATATTATTATATTAGGAAAATACGGCGGTCACGGTATTCTCAAAGTAACAAGAAATTTTCATCTTTATAGTAGTTAATATAATTTGATTTAAATATTTAGTACTATTTTCACATAGTAAGTACCGATTATTTCATAAATGTAAAAATTTGGTTGAATGTGAAAATATAATTTAAATCTATAAAGATATTTTAATAGCTTTTTATGTTTTTCAATATTCGGAATTACGATAAGATTCTTCTTTGTTGTTTTCATGGTTATATTAATGAAGCACGTTAATTTATCTGCTTATTTCTACTGTTCATTATAAATATTTAAGAATTCAAGAGATATATTTATAATTACACCGTAAAAAATAATTACCCAGTGTAAGCTTATTCATAATTATTGTATATTCAGATTAACTATGACCTAATTATTTATCAGTTTTTAAATATGCTAATTTTATTTTTTGCAGATGCGTTTAATAAATTATTTGATATTTTTATTGAAGGATAACACAATTTTTTCATAAGGTGTATAAATATACTTCATCAGTATTCGTAATAATAAAAATAAAATGAAATAATAAAAAAGTCAAGCTGTACTATCGAGCATCAACATAAGCTTTCCTGTCAACGCGCACAAATAGAACTAGGAAATCGATTATGACTTACGTATGCGCACGAGCAAAGGGTAAAATTGGCGAAAGGCTTTGCGTGAATAATGATTGAAATAGGAGCGCTACTTCAGCGAGATAAAACAGATTATGAGTGAAATAAAGTTAAATGTCTATCTATCTATCTATATATGCCAAGAAGAAAACAGACAGATAAACAGATAAGCTGCATGTATATATATAGATACATAGATATATAGATAGATACCGAGTTATATAGATAGATGAGAGAGAAAGAGTGAGAGAGAGACAGATACAGAGTTATATAGATAGATGAGAGAGAAAGAGTGAGAGAGAGACAGACAGATAGAACTAGACAACAACGATTTTGCGATCGAATGTGTTTTGAATGATCTGGTACCTATTAAAGGGACAGCGTCCGAGGTCGTCGGCATACTTTCAGCCACGAGGTTCAGGAATACTGTCAGCGACAATAAGATGGTCACCCCTGTAGAGATACATGTTTGTAGGTTTCTCTGATTTAACCGTGGCATATTCTCATTATTTGTCTTGTTTTATTACTTTATGATTCTTACAAAAAATAGTAAAACTTACACTGTATGTGTACTTAGTTCCAATATGTGCTGTAACGTACTGGGTATTATATGCTAAATGGTATGATTGGTATGACATAGAAATATATAGATACTCTTCTATTACTTAATCGTATATGGAATAGTATGTTGATAAAATGTATGTAATGAATTAATGATATGAATATAATGATCTAATTTAGAATCTGAATTTCATTAGTTTGAGCATGTAGATTTCCATATAATTTCTTATAACACTTCTATGATATATAAATAGTTATTTATTATGTGCAAACTATTATTTATGAAACAGTGCAAGCCTTAGTATTTTGATACAAGTTAATTTTTGTAATAAATTCTACATGAATGCTTTGAAGGTATGTAAGTGAAGAGCAAGACCTTGCTTGTATAACTATGAAGTAAATTAGAATTTTATGTCTTGGAGATTTATAAAGTCCAAATTTTTTATATTTAAAAAATATTCTTTCGACGCGATCTTTAATAGATGTTTTATATCTAATATAAATATACTTATTTAAATTAATAATTAGATTCTTGTTTTTACAGTATAATTTTATTATCTACACTTTAGATAAACGAAATTCTCGTAGTATAAAGTATAACGAAGTTATAATATTACGTATAAAATAATAGACATATATAATTCCGTTAAAAAATTATTGGAATTATTGGAATTAAAGGAATCATTGGATGTTTAAATATTCATAAAATAAATAAAAATCTTCTTATTCTATAATTTTGATTAAGCTAAGCATACACAGCAAAGTGTTGCACATAAATAATCATAGGTAATTTATTTATTTTAGATTAAAATAATTTGGCAAAAATTAATGGTACAATATGATAAAACAATATATCACACATCTGTAATATAGCAAAATATTTTCTTCGATATAAGTGTTAAAAAAGGACTTTACAAAAATAGCCAGTAAGTAATTATACTCATGTTTTTTCAATGTTGAGTGAATAGTAAATTTACTTATGTAGGTAATTCTAATATCTGATATTTGTAAATAAGACGAAAATTCATTTTGATTTCTGAATATATGAATTATATTTTCTTTCTCACATATCCTTAATGATAAAGTAAACAATTAGTCATTTTAATATCAAATTTTTTAATTAAAATAATAAATTTTCAAATTAAAGTTAATTAAATCCAGGTGACCTGCGTGCCAGTTATTATTATAATTAGCTAATGAATTATCGAATTTGGTTGGTTTATCCAGTCAAGTAGCGCGTAAAACATGCGGAGAGACCGAAATGACGAAAAGGTTGGACCGCTTGGGGAGGGCAAACCGATGCAGCGCATAGTTGCAGCCTCACTCCAGGGAAGTGTGGATGGGAAAGCATCAGAGGTACACATTACGAGCTCAACAGACGAAAGATATGGAGTCTAATATCTGCATTAGCTAGACTGAGGAGGAGAAAACTTCCTCCCTGCCGTTTAATACCTACTACCCCATATCTTTCTATTGTTCTTCCTCTCTTTCACAGTCTCTTTCTTTCACTCTCTTTTTCTTTCTCTCTCACACACACACACACTTTCATTCAACAACTAATTATAATCTGCATTAATTCCATTACGACTTACTTATTCAACCATTTCCTTATTATGCATCATACTACTTATTAATTTCATTATATTTATTTTATTTTTAAACTTCCATTTTTGGGCAATTGTGTTTTTTATCACCATATTCTCAATTATATAACTGTCAATTAAATATTAAAATTAATAGTAAGACTGACACGAATTGTAGAATGGAGTCATAATAGAAAAAGAGAAAAAACTAAATTTCTCCTTCAGAACTTCATGAAATTATATAAATTAAGATGTATATATATATATATTTAATTTGTACATTTTTATAATAAATCGATTATATTTCCTTGATAAAAATTTAAAATTTTCAACAATTTATAATTATATATAACAGTAATAAAATATATTATAAATATCCTTAAAGATAATGGAGAAGAATCGTATTATTTTTTATTTTTAAACATTATTTTATAAATAAATTTCTTTTCTAAAAATATATTTTACAGTAAAATTATTCATTTACAATTCTGTTTGTTAGCAACATCAGTTTACAATCATCTAACATTTTCAAATAAGTACATATTAAAAATTTAGTGATAGAACGATTGAATGAAAATTATTCAAATAAAAATTAAATATCAAGTAATAACAAAAAAATATTTTAACTTTGAGAAGCTCGAAAGACCACAAAATTATAATTTAAAAAATTATATATATTTGCTATATAAATAATATTATTTAAATGATTTCGTTTTGGAAAAGTATTCAGAAACATCCCAGTAGGGAAATATTTTATTTAAGATACCTGCACTAAAGGTATTCAAAGTAACAGTCGCACGCCTTGGTAGTTTCCACTGGTGACTGGTTTTGTAAGTGATCACTACATTTATAATGATTACGTTGCAATTATAGCTTTTCAGTCATGATTATGGGATATATAGCAGGATATATGTATATATTATCAATATAAGATATACCTTAAGAGTAGAGTCGAAAAATATAAGCAACAGTATTAATTTTTATTATATAATTTATTATATAATTTTTCTTAAATTAAAACATATAGTTTATTAAAATATATTATATTATAATTCAGTTTTCAGATTAAAATGGATTATATTTTAGATATTAGCTCCATAAATTAATTATTATAAATAATTATCAATTAAGTAAAATACAAAATCATTTATTTATAATTAATATTTATAATGCTTTAACAATATGTATGGTTATCTTGAGTATTATTAGAAAATTCTTTTTATAAATATTTCAAATATTTTATATGTATTTTTGTATTGACCGTATTTTGCTTTTGTTAAGAAGCATATAAATTTGGATACTTATTACCGAATTAATTTATTACTGAATTAATTAATTTGTATATAGAAAATTTTACAGCAAATGTGAACAGAGAAATATATTTCTAAAAAATTTAATAAATATAAATAATATATTTGTATTAACTATATAATGCTATATATTTATTTCTTTTATATTAATTATGTACGTTTATTTTATAAATTTTAATGTTATTTCAATTTAATATGCAATTATTTCGTACAAATTGCTTGGATATATAAATTTATAATAATAATGTAATATTTATATATTATAAGAATAATAAAAGAATTTATTACCTTTTCATTATAATTTCTTTATAATAAATTGTACTTTCAAAAGAAAAATTATATTATTTTAATTTTTCTTTAAGATTTTCTTTTAATAAAAATAAAAAAAAGACACTTTTCATTAATAAAAATATTTAGATTACTTCAAATAATGCACAAATAGTAAAATAGTATTTTCTTCTATGTTGCTATTTACATTTTAAAGCTATATTATTTTGCAGCATTGTCTGAAATTTCATAAAGCTTTAATAAATAGCCGTAATTTGCTGTTTTTATTACCTTAATTTTAATTACTAATATATCATCTGTGATATTCAGGGTACAAGTATCTACGTATGTTTTTTTGTATTAAAGTACTTTGAGGCAATTAATATTTATATACATGAATAAAGAAAGACTTTTTTTTGTGAACATTAAAACAACGTAATTATTATTATTATTACTGTTTTTTAAATAGTAATTTTAATGTTTTCCTTTGAACTAAACAAGTTATTAATTATTATCATTTTAATGATGACTATAATTATTTTCTCTCTATTGCTATATAACAGTTTAGCTTCAAATTTCAGTGAAATCATTTTATAATAAAATAACCAATATTTTAGAATACTATTTTTGCGCTTGATTTGTTTAATAATGTGATATTAGATGCTTTTAATTTTAATAATTATTAATATAGGTGATATTAAAAATTATACAATATAAATATTTTTCGAAACAGAATTATTCATTCTTAAATGTTGCTTTGAAGATGTTAACTGTAAATTCAATATGAAATATTAGTAATGCATATATTATAATAGTTTAAAAAACATATATATAAAAAATTAATACTTTAAAGTCTTTAAGAAAACTAATATAAAGTAAAAACCAAATTGAGACATAGAAATACAGTTTCCATTTAGTACTTTGAATATTGTATTTTTCATTTTATTTAATCGGTAATATCATTTCCAATACTTAATATTTTTTTATATTTTATCTATTCTTTTTTTTAGAGATTATCCGGTGAAATACTGATAAGTATATAGCATATAATACATTGCTGAAGATCGACTGCACCAAACTACAATCTACAGGGATTCATTGCCGGATAATGAAACTTTCTATCGTTCTGATAATCCAAAACTTAAGATGACACCTACTCTAGCGAATATTTATATAATATAAAAATTGTATTATAAATTCTATTTTAAATCGAAATATATCATTTATTTTCAATTATAATTTTTCTCCTAATTTATGATTTAGCCATATTAAATTTTGAAATATAAATATTCTAGTTTATCTTTATATTTTTATATTTTATTTTAAAAAATGATTATTTATATATGTTAACTTAAATATTAATGTAAATATATATAAAAATATTAATATAAAAAGAGATTTGTTTTTATGTAATGAGCAATTCCATTAAATTATTATCTCTAATACATGGATTGTGGTAAATAAAAATGAAATTGTTTTGTTAGTAATATAAAGTATGTAGTATATTATTTTCTTAACAATCTGGTATCAGATAACTTTTAATGAACAATAAATTATGCTTTTGGACCAAATTAATATTTTCAAATATTTTAAATAATAGCAATAAGAATTATATGTTATAATATTATAATAATCAAACTCGAGTTTAAAATTTTATAATAATGATAATAATATATATTACTTTTTTATAAATTAAGATTTTTTGATATATAAAAAATATAATGGGATAGAA